GGGACTCTTCCGGAAAGTGTTCGATACGGGCCGGGGGATGCGAATTGCTCTTTATCCTGAAGGCCGTGAGTGGCCGAGAGGGCAAGGGGAAGGGCGGGGAGGGCGGAGGAGAGGGAGAGGCGGGGAGGCGGGAAGGGTGGAGGGAACGGGGGAGGGTAAGAAGGAAGGGAGGGGGGGGAGAGAAGAGAGAGAGGATGAGAAAGTGAGAGAATGGGGGGGAGGAAATGAGAGAGAGAGAGAGAGAGGAGAGAGAAGAGAGAGATGAGAGAAGAGAGAGAAAGAGAGAGAGAGAGAGAGAGAGAGAGAGAGAGAGAGAGAGAGAGAGAGAGAGAGGGGGGGGGGAGAAGGGTGAGAGGGGAGAGAGGGGGGGGAGAGAGAGAAAGGCATTTTCTGTCTCTCACGCACGCACGCGCACACACACACACACACACACCACACACACACACACACACACACACACACACACACACACACACACACACACACACACACACACACACACACACACACACACACACACACACACACACACACACACACACACACACACACACACACACACACACTTTCATCCCCCCCCTTTCTCTCTCTCTCATATACCTCCCTCTTTCTTTCCTTTTCTTTCCCATCTTACCCTCCTACACTCTCTCCATCCTCCTCCATCGTGCTTGTATTTCTATTATCACCAAATAATTTCGCTCATCAAAGTCACTCCCACTACTTCCGAGACAGCACCCTGAAGTATGGAGGAAAACCTGCCTTGTCCTGAGCGCCGGCAGAAGCGCAAAGTTTTGACAGCGCTGCAGGAGGTGCTTTTTGGTGAAGGTAAAGGAGAGAGGGACAGAGACGGTGGGGATGAGGAGAAGAGGAGAGGGAGAGGGAGATGGAGAGGAAGAGGGAGAGGAGAGGGAGAGGGCGGAGAGAGGAGAGGGAGAAGAGAGGAAGAGGGAGGAGAGGAGAGAAGAGAGGAAGAGGGAGAAAGAGAGGAAGAGGGAGAAGAAGAGAGGGAGAAGAGAGTGAGAGGAGAGAAAGAGAGAGAGAGGGAGAGAGAGAGAGAGAGAGAGAGAGAGGAGAGAGAGGAGAGAGCGAGAGAGAGAGAGAGAGAGAGAGAGAGAGATTGGAGGAAGAGAGGGGAGGGGGGGAGGAAGAGAAATAGGGAGAGGGGAGTGAGAAAGTGGGAAAGGTAAGGAAGGTAAGAGAGAGAGAGAGAGTGAGTGAGTGAAATAGAAGAAGAGAGAGAGAATAGAAGCTGCTTTCGGTGAAGGTAAACGGATAGGGAGAGGAAGAGAGGGTGGGGGATGAGGAGTAGAGGTAGAGGGGGAGAAAAAGGGAGAAATAGGGAGAGGGAAGAGTAGAGAGGTGGAGAAAGAGTGGGAGAAGGTGGAGAAAAGAGTGGAGAGGTGGAGAAAGAGTGGAGAGGTGAGAAAGAGTGTGGGAGAGAAAGAGTGGGAGAGGTGGAGAAAGAGTGGGAGAGGTGGAGAAAGAGTGGGAGAGGTGGAGAAAGAGTGGGAGAGGTGGAGAAAGAGTGGGAGAGGTGGAGAGAAAGAGTGGAGAGTGGAGAAAGAGTGGGAGAGGTGGAAAAGAGTGGAGAGGTGGAGAAGAGGGGAGAGGTGGGAGAAAGAGTGGGAGAGTGAGAAAGAGTGGGAAGGTGGAGAAAGAGTGGGAGAGTGGAGAAAGAGTGGAGAAAGAGTGGGAGAGGTGAGAGAAGAGTGGAGAAAGAGTGGAGAGGTGAAGAAAGAGTGGGAGAGAGAGAGGGAGAGGAGGAAGGGAGGAGAGGAGAGAGGGAGGAGAGAGAGGGGAGGAGGGAGGAGGGAGAGAGGGAGAGGAGAGAGGAGGAGAGAGAGAGGGAGGAGAGAGAGGAGGGAGAGGAGAGAGGGAGAGAGAGAGGAGAGGGAGGAGAGAGAGAGAGGGGGAGAGAGAGGGAGGAGAGAGAGAGGAGAGAGAGGAGACAGAGAGGAGAGAGAGAGAGAGAGGAGAGAGGAGAGAGAGAGGAGAGAGAGAGGAGAGAGAGAGAGAGAGAGAGAGAGAGAGAGAGAGAGAGAGAGAGAGAGAGAGAATATGTATATATAAAAGAAAACTATAGTCCTACATGCATAGTCCTACATGTACATGCAAAAGAAAATTATAGTCCTATAAACAAAGCACTCATGAAGACATTTTGAAAACAAGTTGACGCCGCCGGGCATAGGAAATGGCATCCAGGATGAAGACATGATGGCAAAGACACTGAAGCGGGAGAGGGCGAGGGGGAGGAGAATGAGGAGAGTGGATGGCGAAAGAGAGGAGAAAGGAAATTGGGAACGATGAGAGAGAGAGAGTGAATGGGAACAAGAGGAGCGGAAAAGAGGGAAAGACAGGGTGGGAGAAAGAGGGAGAGAGGAGAGTAGAGAGAGGAACAGGGAGAGAGAAAAGGAGAAGGAGAGAGAGAGAGAGAAAGAGAATGAGAAGAGAGGGAGAGAAACGGCTATGGTTACAGACATAGTCAGAGACACAGAACAGAGCAAATGAAATTCTGCCGTATGGATGTCAACGAGGAGGAAAAGTTTTCTTTCGCGAACTCTGGTTCAGTGACTAATAATTCAAGCTGATGAACTTCTGCAAACTTCCTGTCTCATGAAAAAGCAAAGGAAAAACGTTTGCTCCCTGTGCTGCTTGTTACAATATTGGGTATTATTATTATTGCCGTTGTAGTTATTGTAGTTAATATTGTTGTTGTTATCACTGTTATTATTGTTATTAATATTATTATTATTATTATTATTATTATTATTATTATTATTATTATTATTATTATTATTATTATTATTATGATAGTTGTAATAATGATAATAATGATAATGATCATTATTATTGTTTTTTATTAATGATAAAGATAAATGATTGTAATGATAATAATACAAATGATGATTGTATTAATTCCATTATCATCATTATTATTATTGTTATTATTATTATTATTTTGATTATTGTTATTGTTATTTTTTTGTAGTAGTAGTGGTAGTTAGGATAGGCTAAGTAGTAGTCGTAGTAGTAGAATTTGTACTGTTGTAATTGTTATTTTGTATCACAGGTGGAAAACATTGTGGGGATATATTGATGGCATTGTTATTATAATGATAATAATTATTATTATCATTTTTATTGTTAACATTATCATCATCATCATCATCATCATTATCATTATAATTACTATTATCACTATTATCATTGTTAATATTGTTGCTGGTCTCATTATTAGTAGTATTGTTGTTGTTGTTATTATTATTATTAGTAGTAGTAGTAGCAGTATGTTATTATTATTATTGTAGGTATTGTTATTATTTATTGTTATTATAGTATTATTTACTATTGTTTGTTGTTTTGTTTTTGTTTCTGGTGTTGCGGTTATTCTTATTGTTGCTGCTCTTGTTTTGATTATTACCAATGCCGTTTCTTATTATTTTAGCATAATGTTTGCTCTTGCATTTAATGATATGATCCTCTCAGTGTGATCCTGATTTTTCCTCAAAGCTGGGCAGAGACCCGAAGCAATCACCGTATTTCCTCCGCTTCATAAGCTGCGACGGAGGCCGTTAAAGGCGGGAAACGAGCCCTTTGACGAGAAACGAATCGGCAGTTACGAAGTGATTTCACGGCGGCGGCTCGAGACTCACGAACTTCCATCTCGGGGCCGATCCCTGAAGGAGGCCGGTTGGGGATGGGTTTGAGGGAGGGAGGGGGGGAGTGATTGGGTATATGGGAGGGACGGTTGGGATCGGGAGGGAAGGAGGAGGGTATTGGTGAGTATTCTGTTGAGGGGAGGAAGTGGGTGTGGTTCTGTTGGAGTGAGGTGTGTATTGAAGGAGGGTGGGATTGGGAGATGGGCGGGGCTTCTGATTGAGGGATGCGGTGGGCGGGGCTTCGAATGACAGTAATGATAATAACAACAATGATAATGAGTTATGCCTCCCCGTAGAGGGGGAAAATCATGGTCGACTCCATAATGTTCGGGAAATGTATTATAATAGAGTTTGACCGAATGATCCTTAAAAAGGTATAATGCGAATAAGGCTTTAATGTGGTGGTAGTTTAAGAGCAGCAGTAATTTGCGGTTATATTTATGATAGTAAAAATGACAACAGAAATGTGCAATAGTTTAATCACTTCATCCATGTAAATAAGTAATGAATTGCAATAAAAAAAAGAACTTGAAAGACCACATTTCACCTCTTGCTTTCCCCCCGACCGAGGATAGTTACCTCCCTCCACCTCCCACCTCTCTCCCATCCACCGCCTTCCACCGCGCCGCCGGTTGGAAAGGCGCAGTCCACTCGTTCGAAATGGATTTCCACTCGGCGATCGCGTGCGTGCTTGTCCTCGATCGAATCCCCGGTGTCTGCGCGGGTGGTGGTGTTCTGGAGCCGCCGGGGTCGTGGGAGAAGAAGGCCTTGAAGCCAGAGGGGTCGCGACGAAACTATAGTGATAATGATAGTAAAAAACGGTTGTAGTAATTCTTTTGATAATGGTATTAGATAATTATAATAATGATGGTATAGAGAAAGATGATAAAAAATGGTAATAATCATGGTCGGATTCAGGGGGAAGGAGGAATATATTATGTTCTGCATGGTGGTGGCTTCCACATCCCCGCGCCCCTCCTCCCCTTCCGGAAATGGATCCGACCCAGATAATGATAGTAATGATAAGTAGGATAATGGTGATAACAGTAACGATACTAATAGTAATGATAGTGATTAATGATAGTAACGATAATGACAATACAGGTATTATTGATGATGATGATAATAACCATAATAATAATAATGATGATAGTAATGATGATGATGATAATAGTAATAGTGATTATAATGATGATAAATATATGAATAAATGAAACCGACCATTGGAAGAGTGTGAGGGTAGTGAACGGTGTAATGTGAATATGCAATGGATATACAATCTTTTTGCTAAAACACTGCAATAGTTTATTGTTTTTTTAATTATATGTTTTCTTTCAACAGGTAAAGTGAGCCGGTGAGAGGATCAACCAGGACGAAACGGAAGTGTAACAGGTGATAAAGACGAGAAGAAATGCAATGTTATTAAATTCTGAGAAGACAAATCATGTAATACGGATCGTTGTAAATGATACACATTAGTCGTTTTCTTCACTGTTATCTTGGTTATCATCACCGTTATCATTTAATACGGTTATCTTTATCATTATTATTAATGTATTAGTAGTCGCTATAGTAATTGTTATACAACCACGTATATACATGCTTACATACACAGTCGTTATTAACGACCAGTCATTACAATCCATCATGGCCAATTTACTCGTTACGCTGATTGGCAGTTCCGCTGTAACGAATGTCATCACTATCGTTAACATTGAAATATGAATCTGGAATCGTACACATATACCACTCCCCTACACTTATTTTCGCAAGCCCACGCACATGCACTCGCACGCACACGCTCACACATACACATACACACGTACACGTACATACACACGCACATACGCACACGCTCACACATACACATACACACGTACACGTACATACACACGCACATACGCACACGCCTTCATACACACTCACACATACGCACACACACGCACTCTCTCTCACTCACACACACACACACACACACACACACACACACACACACACACAACACACACACACACACTCATACACGCACACGTACACACACCCGAACACCACACACCCCCGAACACACACACACACACACGCACACGCACACACGCACGCACGCACGCACGCACGCACGCACGCACACACGCACACACACACACACACACACACACACACACACACACACACACACACACACACACACACACACACACACAACACAAACACACACAAACACACACACACACACACACGAGTTCCGGTAAGTTATACCTTTGTGGATCGGACATCATATCTGACACTCCAATTTTGTGGCCAATTTAGTAATAAACAGCGGTGACTTATGGTCCGCGCCCGCAGCTGTGTGGGTGAGGGAGGAAGGGAATGTGGTAGTTTCTCTCGCTCGCTCTGCCTTTCGCCTCTCCGTCAATCTTTCTCTTTCTCTTTTCTTTTGTTCTTAATTTTTCTTCGCTTCTTTTCTTTTGCTTTCTCTTTTCTTGCCTCTCCCTCTCCCCTCAAAATCTTCCAGCCTCATTTCTCCAGTTCTCGGGCCCTGAAGCCTTAGGTCCGCTGGATTAAGGGCCGAATTGAGCGAGAGTAGCATGGGGATCACGTAAGGTCATATTTCCGGTCTTGAGATAATGCGCAAGTGTGGCGTGCCTGCCTACGCTGTACGCTGTCTCGCAAGGTTTAAGTATTCCTGTCTCTCAGGGGCCTTGTATCTCTCCCAAGGTCAAAATGTTTCTGTCTCAGGGGCATCTTGTCTCTCGCAAGGTCAAATTATCCCTGTCTCTCGGGGGCTTCCTGTCTCTCGCAAGGTCAAAATGTTCCTGTCTCTCAGGGGCATCTTGCCTCTTCCAAGGTCAAATTATGACTCTCATCTCTTGTCAAGCATCAATTATTCCTGATCTTGGCCTCGTTTCTCGCAAGGTCAAAATGTTCCTGTCTCTCAGGGGCATCTTGCCTCTTGCAAGGTCAAATTATTCCTGACTCTCAGTGGCCTCGTATTTCTCGCAAGGTAAAAATGTTCCTGTCTCCGAGGCCGTGTATCTCGTTCTCGTTCATATACAAACTCAGGAGCATCGATTGGCGGCACTCGACCGAATGCGAAGATAAGAATTTAGGGTTGAGATAAGCAGATAAGGAAAGGAAAAGGCTTACCCCGCACCCTGTTTAGTACGGGTCTGGATTTGGTGTGGATTTTGATTTGAAATGAGATTGGAAAACGAGCAGACTTATCCCTCACCCTCACCCCTTTAGAATAAGTTTCTGGATTTAGATTTTAGGTAAGAGGATTGGGAAATGAAGTGACTGTTCCAATTCCTCTTATTTTCTCAATTTACTTGTGGATGAAAGGAATGGTGATGCTGCGTGAAATGAGTTCAGTTTGGCCTTTTCTTGCTTGTTATGGCAGTGCTTCCCTTTCCTTCCTTAATATGGCAGTGCTTCCATTTCCTTTCTTGTTATGGCAGTGCTTCCATTTGCTTCTCTATTATGGAAGTGCTTCCATTTCCTTCTCTGTTATGGCAGTGCTTCCTTTTCCTTTCTTATTATGTCAGTGCTTCCATTTCCTTCTCTGTTATGGCAGTGCTTCCATTTCCTTCTCTAATATGGCAGTGCTTCCATTTCCTTCTCTAATATGGCAGTGCTTCCATTTCCTTCTCTATTATGGAAGTGCTTCCATTTCCTTCCTTGTTATGGCAGTGCTTCCATTTCCTTTCTTATTATGTCAGTGCTTCCATTTCCTTCTCTATTATGGCAGTGCTTCCATTTCCTTCTCTGTTATGGCAGTGCTTCCATCCCCCTCCCTATTATGGCAGTGCTTCGTTTCGTTTTACATTCCCAAGGTTCCACTTCAGAATCACCACGACATTCCCCCGAGACTATGGAGGCGGGGCTTGATTAATTGCCCTTTTTCCTCGCCGATTCCATTCCCAATAATGAGCCTTATTACGCATCTGGTTCTGACCCGGGATCTGCGTCACAAGTGGCTCTAACCGGGAATTAAGGATCGCCAAATTATTTGCCGCTAGTGATTATTCCAAGGTAATGAGGACAGATCCGGTCATTGTGCACCTAATGACCTTGCCTCTCAGGTGTCACCGGTGTGGAGGAGGTAGGGGGTTGGTGGGAGTCACCTAGGGGGGGGGGATTGACGACGCAAAACGGGAATAAAGATGGGGGAATGTAAGAGAAGGAAAATACTACATCGGTTTTATGCTATACCAAATAATATGTGAAGCAAGATTAGGTCCGAATTGAAGAGAAATCCGCAAAGATGACAAGTGATAAACGGAATAAGATTTTTCAAGAGAATGTTCAAATTTCGAGCATTTAGTACCATCGTTCGAAACATTTTGCAAAGATGCCACGGTACACTGGAGTGCCGGCGAGGGCGAGCGACGCCAAGCCTTTATTAATACCAGCTGCCAGATGGTACCTGCGTTGGAAAACATTACCGCTGTTATTACCAACACCTGTCCCTTTGTGAGTTCCGTGCGCGGCGTGCGTGCGCTGCTGGTGAAATTTGCCAAATCATCCTGCGCTTCGTTTTAACATTATGGATGCTGGAATATGTTAACGTGGATATAGGAATTTTGTTGTTTGTGTGTTCATAGGAATCGCAAGGGCCAATTGATTTTTTACCATCCACCTATTTGGAATATGGAACGATTGGGAAGGAGCGACGAGTAGGAGGCATAACCAGGAAATTATTGTTTTCCATTTTACCTCTTGGTTGACGAATATTGGAAGGAGAGAATAGCAAGGATGGGCGATATGATCTCTCTCATTCTCTCTCTAACACACACACACGCACACGCACACGCGCTCACACTCACATTCGCACACACTCACATTCCACACACACACACACACACACCACACACACACACACACACACACACACACACACACACACACACACACACACACACACACACACACACACCACACACACATCTCTCTCTCTCCTCTCTTCTCTCTTCTCTCTCTCTCTCTCTCTCTCTCTCTCTCTCTCTCTCTCTCTCTCTCTCTCTCTCTCTCTCTCTCTCTCTCTCTTTCTCTCTCTATTTCTTTTTCTCTTTCTCTCGCTCTCTCCCACTCCACTCTCACTCCTACTTCCAAACCCTCTCTCCCTCCTGTCACACTACTTGTCTGTCTGTGTCATTCTTTTAATCTCAGAAAGAAAAAAATCGCTTCTATTTCTCTTCAAAGAAAATCAGGAAATCATTGATACAAACTCCTTTGATGGACGGCATTCCGTATCACGTTCGGATGCCTGGGAAGAGGACTTTAAAACTGTTCACGGAATTCTGATTTTTCGTCGTGGGAATCGGCCAAGGATATGTCTGAGCAAGCACTGTACCTTTTGTGTTGTGTGTATCACCACTCTCCCTCTTTCGCTTTCCTTCACGCCCTCTCCTTCTCTCCAACTCTTTCCTCATTCTATTCTCACTTACTACGTCCTTCCTCTGCGTGTGGTGTTCCCTCCCTCTCCCCCCTTCTCCTCGCTCGTTCGCCTCGCTCGCTCGCCTCGTCTCTCCCTCCCCTCTTCTCCTCGCATCGCTTCGCCTCGTCTCTCCCTCCCCTCTTCTCCTCGCATCGCTTCGCCTCGTCTCTCCCTCCCCTCTTCTCCTCGCATCGCTTCGCCTCCCCTCGCGTGGCCTAGGTGATGTCATTCAGGTGGAGTTAAGGGGTGTTGTTGGCAAGATTTTAGTGCTACGGGAGGCTGTGGCAATGAAGTTAGCGTTAACTGTGTTTCTTCTGATTACTCTGTATTTGGTTTTATTTATATTTTTATCGGTCGCTTTTGTGATCGGTACAGATGGCGAGGCCTGCTTTCTTTACCAGGAAGGAGCGATGGTAGTGGTGTACTTGATATTTTTTGTTTGTTCTTGCAATTGGTTGTCCTTTCGTTCTTGTTATTGCTATTTTTTCTTTGTACTTGTAATTGGTTATCCTTTCGTTCTTGTTCTTATTTTTTTTTTTTATGTACAAGGGTTGATTTGTGATCGATATTTGTTATTATCATAGGCAGTTTGAGATTGATGCTATTAAGAATATATTAACAAAAATAGTTCCAAAACACCAAAATTGTCACATAATGTCTTAATATTTTGTAAATTGAGGCAACACTATAAATTTAAATATAGGCGCGCATTATGTGTGTTCATTTCTGTTTGGGTTAGTGTCTTAGACCGTTAATGTGTCTGTTTTGTGTGTGTGTTTTAAAGAGAAAAGAAGAAAAAGTGATGAGGATCGTCGACAGCCTTGCTCTGAGTTTCTTGTTGTTGCGTCATTTTTAAAGAGTAATGTTATGTGATGTGATATCGAGGACAGTGGGAGAAATCCCCAAGTCTCTTTCTTTGTATTTTTTTTCTTTTTGTCATTCACTCTATTTTGCTAGT